AAAAATACATTTCATGCAATTAATCTAGATCTAAAGCAAATAAACACAAAACGTCACTTGAATGATATATTTTGATAGTTTAACTGTTTCCTGCTTTTTAATACTGGTTGTCATGTTATCAATTGTAAGCGTCTAAACACAAATGAATTAATCAAATAACAGGATACAAACTTTATTTTTACACTTAATGAAACTATAAAAAATAACCATGTATCAGGCTGATATTAAGGACGTTTGGCCTTAAATAAAATTACTTACAATATACAGTCATCTTTTCTTGGGCCTTCACTAAACTTTGTCCAGGTACTGCAGTTTCACAATGAATTGTTTTGTTGTTATCAGTTCTGTTGGCAGTAAATGTTACAATACTTGTAACAGATTTAAGTTCATTCTCATGACTTTGTTCTTTATTCTGCACATCACTCAGTATTTGAGTACCTAGCTTCCATGTAACTATAGCAACAGGTCGTGTTTGGGAGGAAGTACACTGATATCTTATTTGATCTCCTTCTAACTTTTCTGTTGTAAGATCTGTGATTGTAGGAGTGGTAGCTAAAACTGAAAAAAGAAAACATTTTAAATTATTCTACAATAAGTGTGATATGTGTTTTCTGTATATATGTAAGAGATGAAGAGCTTTCAAAAGGGAGAAAAAGGACAGTTTAAATATGTGAGACATAACAAGAAAATATATTAAAGTTAAAGTACTATAGCGATAGGGGACTAACAACTAGTACAGATGTACTTATGCTTAAAAATGTCATATATAAATGTCAATGAAAACAGATTGAACAAAGGTCATAGAAAGAACAGGATAACCTTTAACATAAAGAGTTATTCTGTTTGAAAACACATCTGGATTTCCTGACTGTGAAGCTTTACAATAAACTTGTATGGTTATGGTCAGAGACTTGCTGTACATGTCAATGTTTTAGATACACCATTTGTCACTTCTAGTGTTCCTGATAGTATTGTGTTGCTGTCTTTTAATGTTACATTAGCTACCTTTACTGAAATTTGCAAAATAAATATAAAACAACCATGTTATTGAACTATGTGATTATTAATACTTTTACTGAAATATATGAGCAACTATAACCAAATATAACATATAATAATCAAACTAGAAGTGAAATAAAAATGGTGAGGTTAATGGTACGAAGACCATTTTTTACACTTTATAAGAAAAAGAGGTTAACTCAACAAAGTTAACAGTATTCTGTCTATTAAACAATTGGCGATATTTCCATAACAAATGTTTCACTTTTGTTTATTTCAATGCTAACAAGTTGTAAAAATAGCAATATCATATAACACTTTACATGTTTAGTTGTACAGTTAATGGGTTTACTTCCCTTTACTTGATATTCATTAATGCTATGGGATGCCTCTCTGATACCCGAGCATTTCTCAATTGAGCTTTGGTCTTAACAACATGTATTAAATTGTTATAATAAGTAGGAGAATAGTTTGAATCTTGTTATAATCTACAACATAACACAAGTAAATAATTAGCAGCTTACTGTCTTATAAATAACTGGTCTTTAAACGTAAATATCTAAGAAACATCTTATTAATCGTTTAATCTTGTAACATAATTATATAACTGGAATGATGAAAAAAACTCATTTTTTTAACATTCGTTTCTCGATTTAAGTGATTGCTATCATACATTACAACTAAAAAGCTGTCCCTACCTTTTACATATAGTGACACATATTTTGAAGACACAGCTTGACTTTCAGTCTGTATATTAAAAGCTTTACAGTAAACTTGTTTCTGATTATCAGAGTATTCTGGTGTGAATGTTAAGCTTGAAATTGTAGTAGTTTCTCTTTTCTGCTCCTGGCCTCGAAAATACCAGATGATAGTTGCTGTTGGTCTGCTTACACTAGATGAGCATGTCAATGTATGAGATTCCTCACTGTTTACTTCCAATGAATTTGATGGAATTGAACGACCATCTTTCAATGTCACTGTTGTAACACGTACTGAAGCATGATGGGATACACAAAGACTTTATACAATTTTTCAGAGTATGCCTTCTAAAGTATATAAAAGAACAGTGAATATTTTCTCAACTTATCACATCAGACTGATTTTCAGAAATATGTGAGGCTTGGGTATAGCAAGCATTCTATCTGATCACTTATAATAATAAATGTAGTATAGGGATAAAAAAAATAAATGAGAACAGATATTTTCAGGAATTTAATGAAAATCAATGACCCACTGGGCGGGTCCATATTTGATTCCAGGGCTTTTATTTGAACAAACTTGGTAGACGCTCACCCGAAGATGTTTCATGCTAAATATCTAAGCTCTAGCTCTTTGGGGTTTTTAAAAGAAAATTTCATTTTGGTTTTTACTATATACATATGAAAAGAGCGATCTGTCATAATATGTGTCGCATCATGATAGCAATGACCTAGCCGATAAATCATTCAGTCAAAAAAAAAAAAAAAAAAAAAAAAAAAAAAACATGTAATATGCACAAGTATTTGAGCTACTGATCAATAATTTAAATGTTTCATTGAAATTTCAGTGGTTGTATAAGAGAAGTAGTCCAAACAAACTTTAATGTTAACAAGACGGGAATAATTTTTAGACCGCTAGTGATATTCGAACATCAACCTATGCGCTTCATATTTGAAGGAGAAAGATGTATGCATCGATGACATGTGCGCAACACATTGTCTTTATACACAAGGCAAAATCTTGACATTGCTTTGTCTTAGGTGACCTTGACTTCTGGCTAAGTAACCTGGTTTATGTGCATGAAACAAATTATCGTTTCTAAAAAAACTCAATTCATGTTATTTGGAAATTCATCCATGCACGAAGAGGTTATACCACGGACAGATCTGGATGCACGCACGCACTTATAAACACTGAACATCCATTTTGACAACAATGTGGAGCTCAGCGCAAGCGAGCTCGACAAAAGTCCATTGACCACTTAGCACAATACTTCAAATCATAAGCAAAATACAGTGCGCAGAAACACATATTGATATTTTAGTTGACTATTTTTGACAATGACTTTCATTTTGCGCAAGTCATCCTAACTCACTATGGAGAACATTTATTCTAAGTAATATTCAAAAACAACCATGTAAATATAAGTAATACTCGCAAATTAATGTTTTATTTTGTTATTTTACATTTGACCCCCATATATGACATTTACCTTTGCCATTGACACCTGAATTTTTGCGTGATACTCCGCCTTACTATAGAGAACATGTGTCCAAAATTTTGTTACAATCCCTCCATACAAGTTACATTCCGGGCACAGTCTTTGTGAAGACCACCAATTGTGACCTTGACCTTTGAGCGGCGTACCTGGGTGTCATGTGCGACACCATTCCATCTTGGTGAACATATGTACAAAATAATTTTATAATCCTTCAAAGAATGAGCAAGATATAGACCGGAATTTTTTTTAATATTTGTGTGTGACCTTTGACATCTTGTTCATTTTGCGCTCAACATTTAGAATATGTTTTACGTTATATTAATATCCAAACATGCATCTAGAAGTTATACTAGCAAATAAATATTTTACTTTGATATTTAACCTTTAACCTCTAAGTGTTAACAGGCCGCAGGCGCCTGTATATTTTGCGCGACTCTCTGCATCTCTATTTGTCCCAAGTTATAGTTAAATCCTTCCATGCATGTATAAGTTACGACCGGACACGGGTTTTCGTTGACTCCCAATTATGACCTTGAACTTTGAGTTGCGGACCTGGGTGTTGTGTGCAACACACCACCCAATGATGGTGACAATTTGTACCAAATTATTTTGAAATCCTTCAAGAATAAGCAAGAAATAGACCGGACAAATCTGGACGAACGCATGGACGCACATACACAGAACTTTACGCCAAAGTGGTGACTAAGTCGAGCTCACCGCAAAGGGCCATAACTCCGACAGTTAACAATGAACCACATTGCCAATAGCATGCACAACTAGACTTAGTATTGATAATTTCTGTAAAGTTTAGATTGAGATTTCATCAGCAGTTTCTGATGAGGATTCCGGAAAAGTTTCTATGAAGCTGACAAAACAGAAAAGCACATTTGTATTCAATGGTCATAACTCGGCCAAAAATTATTCAACCAGAAAACGTATGTTATATGCTAAGAATTTGAGCTACAGATCAATCCTGTAAAGTTTCATTGAAATTGCAAAAGTTGCATAAAAGGAGTAGTTCATACAAACTTTAAAATTAAATTCATTAAAGGGCCATTACTCTGATAACAAATCATTGAACCGGAAAGTGCCGACGATATGCACAACTAGACTTGGTACTGATTGTTCCTTTCAAGTTTGCATGAAATTGGATACGTAGTTCCGGACAAGTTTTGTAATGGATTGACGGGCAGCTGGATAGACAGAAAAACAAAGGAGAAGTGATCCCTTTATGTCACTTCTACTCTCGACAAAAAATCAATGACCCCCTGGTTAGGGCATATTTTTACCCCAGGGCTTTTATTTGATCAAATCACTAGAAGATGTTTCATGCTAAATACCTAAGCTCTAGCTGTATAGTGGCTGATTTGTGCCATTTGTGTTTTTGCCCCGCGACCCGGCCAAGCGAAAAGTCCAGAATTAATGAGTTTAAATGACAGGAGTACAAATAAGCCACCATTTTTTTTTACTTCTAAAAGAAGATTTATTTTGTTATTACTATATACACATAAGGAATAGCAATGACCAACTTGGGTGGGGCAAATTTCGACCACAGAACTTTCATTTAAACAAACTTAGAAGACATGTAGACATTCATTTCCATGCCAAATATCTAAGTTCTAGCTCTTTGGGTTTTTATAAGAAGATTTTTTGTCTTTCGGTTGCCATAAAATTCTGCATATAATCATTTTCTTTGAAAAATGTTTTAAGGTGATTTCTTAAGAAACATTTTTGTGAAGTTTAAATGAAATTGGCTGAGCAGTTTATGAGGAGATGTCGTTTAAAGTTAAAACGTACGTAGGGACGGACGACGAACGGACAGCTGATTATTCAGAATTGGGATGAAGTTCAGAAAAGATTGACATTCTGGAAATCGCTGAAAACTAGACAATCATGTTAACATAATAAGTAGAACATTTACCTGCAAATCTGACATCTACAGATGTTTGTGTATAAATTTGATTCCCAGTTTTTGATATGGCACCACACTGAAACTTCACACTGGTATCTGTATTGTCAGTAAACTGTGTGTTTCTTGGTAGAGTTAATGTTGATTTCTCAGAGTCAGTACAAACACCAGTTCTATCTGTCACAGGCGGTGTTGGTGACCATGTTTGACGTGATCCACTAGTCTATAAATGTAATTTATAATTTATTACATTGATACTAATTTTTGGTGACTAAACAACATATGATTAAAGTGAATGTCTTGAAAAACAATGCATAAATTATATTTTAACAACGTTGCTATCTAACTGCATATACTTGAAAACATCACATATCTCATAATGCATTGGTAAGTAATCAAAATTACCTTGGTAAAATACCATGTAAAGTTTGGTGAAGGATAGGCACATCCTGTGCTACATTTTAAGGCCACTGCATTTTGAACGAGGTCTTGGTCCTGGTTTGGTGAATTATCATACTGAAGTGATGGTGTAATTGCTGGAATTAATAAAATGAAATTTAACTTTGAAAGGTAATTAGTTATTAATCAAATGTCTAGTATCAGTCACTTTTTTGTTGCATTTACAATGACTGAAATAATGCTAATAGTATTTGATTTTACATTTAAGATCAATAATAGACAAAAAATATCGGTTCCATTTGTTTAACAGTCATAACCATTTATTTATATCATATCCACATACTGCCAGTTTTTAATCACAACCACTTTTCAATCATTCCGAGAATTTCTTTGCTTTTGACCTTATTTGTTATGTAACCAAAATTTAAGCAAATCCTGTGTTTACCTTGACTACATTTATCTGCAGCAATGTCAAATATGGCGATGAAAACAAAATACCAGTATTTTAGTTCCAAATATATAAAATAAACATTATACACAAATCCTTAATTAACTAAGTTGCAAATCGCAATTATTTTCTAAAAATATTTGATTTACAGTTGGACTACTGTTTCACTATCATTAAGTCATAATGTATACGGCACTTTAAAAGCTTTACTTTTAATATGTACATATTTTACCGCACAATTCTAAGCTGGAAGGCAAAACGTCAGTAAAGTAACAGTCACTTCACAAAGGAAAAACATTTCTCTGATAACTTTTCAGTAAGCTGTCACTAGAATGGGGTCATATAGACCCTAAGATCCTTAAAATTTCACAAAAACATGTAGTTTTTTTTATACAAATTGAGATGCACATCCATACCAAAGCAGTGACAGCTTTACTACTGCAAACATATATTAAGATTGAAAAATGGCATTATAAATAGGTTAAAATTGTTTATTATCATTTATATGAAATTGAAATTTCTTCAAGATACATAACATGTTATATTTTGACATTGTATGACAACTTTTGTGTGGTACAGTATTTATTTTGTTAAGTGATTGAAAAGTGCCTTCGATACATAATAATAATTCAAGTAATATTTTTTTAAAAAAAAACTAAAATTATGATATTTGCAGAATCAGAATTGTAAGAGAATTTTTATATAATTTCACTGACAGTTATTGTAGAAAAATCTGTTAGCCGATCGGAAAGTGGCAGTACGTGGATATCTGTAGTAAACATCAGAATTTAGCATCCATGTAAATTTAACTTCTTATATTCACTTTAAAATATAGGTTTTATTGTTTTAATAGTTTTAGCATATTGGCATATTGGTAGTTAGAAAGAAAATATGTCTTTAAAATTGAGTAATATTATTCTATTTCTTTAAACAAGAAGGCCATGATTGCTCTGAAATCGCTCACCTGTATATAGGCCCCTGGACCAAGGCCAATCTTAAACCAGGGGCTTTAATTTGAACAAACTTGGTAGATTTTTTAAGTTTTTACTATATACATATCAGGAAAAACAATGACCCCATCCCCTTGGAGGGGCCAATTCTGACACCAGGGCTTTTATTTGAACAAAGTTGGTAGACACTCACTAGAAGATATTTCATGCTTAGTATCTTAACCTTAACTCTTTGGTTTTTTGATAAGAAGATTTTTTAAGTTTTCACTATACACATATAAGAAAAATCAATGACCCCCGGGCGGGGCCAATTGTAATTCAATGGCCCTTATTTGAACAAACATGGTAGACACCCATTAGAAGATGTTTCATGCTAAATATCTTAGCTCTTGGTCTTTGGGGTTTTCAAAAGAAGATTTTTTAAGTTCTTACTATTTACATAAAGGGAAAACAATGAACCCCAGGGGCGGAGCCAATTTTAAACCCAGGCCCTTTTTTAACCAGATATCCACAAGAAGATTTTTCATGCTTAATATCTAAGCTCTTGCTATTTTGGTTTTTCAAAGAGGATTTTTTAAGTCTTTACTATATACAAATAAGGAATATCAATGACCCCCTGGGGGCAAATTTTTATCCCAGGGCTTTTATTTGAACAAACTTGGAAGACACTGACAAGACAATGTTTTATACCAATTATTAAAGCTCTAGCTTTTACGGATTTCTAAAAGAAGATATTTTAAGTTTTTTCTTTCGGTTGCCATGGCAACCAGAGTTCTGCTTGGAATTAAATTATTTGAACAATTTTTAATGTTGACTACCAAAGAAACATTCCTGTGAAGTTTGAATGAAATCGGCTGAGCGGTTAATGAGGAGATGTACTTTAAAGTAAAAGTTTACGGACGGACCGACGCCGAACTAAAAGCGATCACAAAAGCACACCATGTCACTTTGTGACAGGTGAGCTAAAAGTAAATAAGATGAAATCATTAAATAAAGAAATAAATAAATAAATTTAAAGAGTGTTATCAAAATAGATATTTCTAATTACTGAATAATAGAAAATCTTTTGAAACTATTTACAACTTTCAAATGATGCATACTGTATACTATAAGTTGCAGGTATTTTCTCTGAGTGTTGAGGTTACATGTCCAATATTTCTGGTCTTCTGATCTATTGAGATTTGTGACTGTAACAGTAATACCACTGCTGCTAGTGCTTAATGTATGTCTTGGTATACTTCCTATACACTGTGACGGTGTACATTGTGCTACTGCTGGAGAAAGAGAATCGTCTTGAGAAGGAATGGAGTCTGTCTTATAAACCCTGATTATATCATTATTGACAAACTGTAACACTTCACATATAACCTGTATATTGCCTCCTTTTACAGGGACCTTGTTGTCTTTGATAAAGATTTGCTCTACAGTTCCTGCAACGTAAAAAGATTTGTTGTTTTTCTAGTACATATACATAGATTTTACGAAGTTGTTGTTGTATAGTTGTTACACCATCATATATATAGATCTAATTGTTAAAAATGTAATATATGTTACAGCAATGTCACTAAAATGGTCAGAATTTAAAAAAGGGTCACAAAGATGTGACAGGGGGTTGTTACATAGTTGCTACAGGATTGTTAAAACATTTTTAGGCCACATGTCAAAATTATCTAGGTCCTTGGCATCGTAGTGTCACAAAATAAAACTTAAATGAATTTTCCTACATAAATCCTATACAAATCAAGTGAGCTCCGGGACAGGGTCAATATTAATCCAAACTCATGATTTATATAAATTCGTACTTTGTAGAGATCCACAGGGCTATGTATTACCTCTAGACAGTATAGTTTCACAAGAAAAAGAAATAAATATGTTTTCCTTTATAATATCTATATAAATCAAGTGGCCCCTGGGCGGGGGCAAATTTTGTTTGAGAAAGTCAAACATGGGTTCTGTAAGTCGTCTCATAATATCAATATTATTAACATTTCTGTCGAAAAGTTACGATTTCCTTCCATCGGTTCAAGTGATACAGAACGGACATGAAATATTTTAATTCATACATAAATACTAAGTGTGACCTTTGACCTTGATTTTAGGAAGGTCAAACGTGCACATCGTTCAATGTGGTTAACATTTTCGCCAAGTAGTTTCAATTGTATTCCACCAGTTCAAAAATACAGACAGGAAAAATACATTTTTGGTATCCCAAATACCTTTCACATGTATGCTATGGATTTGCACATTTTTACACAGGATGAATAATTCATCTATTGATATACTTGAACAGTGAAAGTTTACATGACAATGTGTTTTCTCTGTAATTACTCATGGCGGAAAAAGTATTTAGTGAGTAAAGTGCCTTCCCACAGGCGTATGATAAATCTATTTAGCAACATTGTGAATTATTTTTGCTGCATGTGTTATATCTCATAATTGCTGCAATATTCCATATATCAATCAATAAGATTAGCCAGAATCCAGCCGACAGAAAAAAATACAATAAAACCCATGCAAAAGACCTTTGCTTTATTCCAATACCTCTGGGTGTCCCGGCCTCAATTCCACAGAACGCCAAATGGTGGAATTGTTCAGGGGGTTGACCGTGTGTCCGCTGGTATAGTGGTGTCTATTTGGAATTCTCTTGTATTTTGCAGACATTGAGCCTAAAATCGTACTATGAATCATATTTTGCCATTTCCGGATGGCCTCTATAAACACTTGCCTCAATTCCGCAGAACTTATTCTTGTGGAATGATTAAAGGGTCTAACCGTGTGTCCGCTGGTATAGGTGTGTCTGTCGGAAATACTCTGGTATCGTGCCTCTTTATGTACAAAATACATTTTCAATTACGCCATGTTAACCTTCGTTTAACCTTTTTCGATTCAGTAGAATTGAACCTTGGTAAAATAGAATTCGCCTAAACACGAGATGACGATATTTTACAAATGATATTTTCATTCATTCAGCTATTTTCGTACCATATAATTTAAAAGCTTTCTTTCTCAAACACATAAAAGAGCAATGAAATATCACGAAAAGAGGCTGTACCGCAACTCATTGTTTTCATTCTTCAATTTCTCCCGAATAGCTTTAGAGCAAATTTCCAAATCCATATGCAGTCATATATGACAGGTTCGCATTCAAATTATCTATAAAGGAACACCGTGTTATTTTTCTTAATTATTTAAACTGATACTTTAAATATAACATCAACTAATATTAAGAAGCTGCAATATTAAATTTATTTTCAGATATTTTACTTACTTGTAAAGTTGATCACTGGCCAGTTCGAAACTAATACTCTTTACCATGTTGAACTGTAGCACAAATACTATGGTA